AAGAGATATCTGGACCAAGTAAAGTGTATAAAGGATTAAAATGGTAAAGTGCTAGTTACTGATAGTGATATTAAGGACAGATGGGAGGCTTTATTTTACAAGTTGTTTAATGAGGAAAGCGAATGTGCGACTCAGGACTTGCAAGGTTCACTAATTAGTGAAGATAATCAAAATTTGGCTTTTTACCACAAGATCCGAATCGAAGAGGTTAAGGTAGGCTTCAAGAAAATGGACAATGGTAAAACTATTGGGCCTGATGGTATTCCTATTGAAGTTTGGAAATGTTTGGGCCAGAAGGGTGAATTGTGGCTAACCAAGCTTTTTAATAAAATTTTACATTCCACGAATATGGCGGATGATTAGAGGAGAAGCATTTTAGTTCCTATTTATAAGAATAAAAGAGACATTCAAAACTATACAAGCTACAGAGGGATAAAACTTATGAGTCATATAAGGAAGTTGTGGAAAAAAAGTGATTGAACATAAGTTGAGGTTTCGGAGAACCAATTTGGATTTATACTGGGAAGATCCACAACTAAAGCAATCTATTTACCAAAAAGGTTAATGGAAAGATATAGGAGTAAAAGAAGGGATTTACATATGGTTTTTATTGACTTGGAAAAAGCTTATGATAGTGTGCCAAGAGAAGTACTTTGGAAGGCTTTAGAAAAGAAAGGTGTACAGGTCGCTTATATCAAAGCCATCCAAGATATGTATAAGAGGATAACTACTAGTGTAAGAATGCCTGGAGGTGAGACAAAGGACTTTCCCATTAAGATTTGCCTATATCAGGGATTTTCTTTAAGCCATTATTTGTTTAATATTGTTCTGGATGTTCTAATTGAGCTTATCCAAGAAAGAATCTCTAAGTTCATGCTCTTCACGGATGACATAGTCCTCAGAGTTAAAAGAAGAGACTAACTCTATATTAGAGTTATGGAGAAGGACTTTGGAGTCAAAAGGTTTTTGCTTGAGTAAGAACAAAATAGAATATATGCATTGCAATTTTAGAGGGAGGCAAAGCAATGGTGATTTGGAGGTGAAGATAGGGGATCACATCATTCCTCAAGTATCAAAGTTTAAATACCTTGGATTCATTATACATAAGGATGGTGAAATTAATGGAGACATTTTTTATAGAATACAAGCTGGTTGGTTAAAGTGGAGGAAGGCTATCGGAGTTATTTGTGATAAGAAGGTACCTGAGAAGTTTAAGGGAAAATATTATCAGACTGCTATAAGATCAGCTATATTGTACAGTAGTGAATGTTGAGTGATTGAGGGAAAACAAGACCACAAAGTTGAGGTAGCAGAAATGAGGATGCTGAGATGAATGTGTGATCATACAAGAAAAGATAAGATTCAAAATGAAAATATTAGAGTAAGGTTGGTGTGGCGTCTATCCAAGAGAAAATGGTTGAAAATCACTTAAAATGGTTTGGACATGTGCAAAGAAAGTCATTGGAGGCTCCGGTAAGGAGGGTAGATCAGACAATATGGAGTCCCAAAAAAAGGGGCAGAAGAAGACCGAGAAAAACGCTCAATGAGGTTATCGAGTGAGACCTCCTAATCAAAAACATATCTAAGGGTTGGGTTATTGATAGAGCACAATAGCATCATGTGATTCATGTAACCAATCCCACCTAGTGGGATAAGGCTTGTTGTTGTTGTATATGTGAGCTAAAACTATTTTGTAATCGTATATATGTATCTTTAATTAAATTATACGGCAAGGGTAAAGTAGTAATCAAGATTTAGGGGGTGTTTGGCAACCCTCAAAAGTGCTTCTCAGAAGCACTTTTCCGCAAAACGAGGCAAACTCCTCCACATATTTACTTCATAAACCGTAAAAGCACTTCTGAAACCATAGTTTGGTTTCCATCCAAACACCCCTTTATTCTAATATAGTTTTTAATTAAAATATATATTTAAAGAATCCTTTCAAAATATTCTTGACACTATTAATGGTTTGAACTAAATGTACATTTTCAAAATAGAGACGAGGTATATATAATTAAGACAAAATAAAAAATAATCAGAATATTTTATTTTATATTTTAGACGAAAAAGAGTAATTTTTAATTAAAGAAAAAGTTAAGCAGAATTTTGGAGCTGCTCCGTGACTGGATGGGGAAAATATATCTGTCCTACATTCATTCGTGAAGGTAGGACAGATATTTGAATGCTCACTCGGGTTAGCAGGGGGTATGCTAGATAGACATTATCGAATAGCACCTTTTGATGAGAGATATGAACAAGAGGCTTCGAGAAAACTAGTGTTTTCTGAATTATATGAAGCCAGTAAGCAAACAGCGAATCCATGGATATTTGAACCCGAGTATCCGGGAAAAAGCAGAATATTTGATGGAAGAACAGGGGATCCTTTTGAACAGCCTGTTATAATAGGAAAGCCTTATATCTTGAAATTAATTCATCAAGTTGATCGTTGGCTGGAGTGACGTGGGAGAGCGAACGCAGGACATGAATCATCTGGTAATAAAGATGAAGTGACGTCGTGTCGGGCTGAATCATGCATGGCAGAGGACCGAATAGATAAGCATGGATATGATGGACCTTGGGTCAATGGATATGTGACACGTGTCCTCCACCATTTTGCTTTTTCGGTGCAGCGTCCGGGGCAAAGGAATGAAAGACAAAACTGCTTCCGGTCAAAAAGCAAAAGATAAAACTGCGCTTTACAACTTTTTCCCTATTTAGAATGTTTCCTAAGCCCTCCAACTCGGAGGCACGGAAGAGGTCTCTCTGGTCCTTTTTCCTCCGCTTTCTATCTTCCCATTCCTTCCTTCAGATCTAAATATAAACGTGAAGGAGTATAATATTACAATTTAAACAGTACAGATTTAATATTTTATAAAATTATGAATAAGATGTTAAATTTTTTGAAGAAATAAATAAAATCAAACTACTAAATTTTAGTCATGATAATTTAAAATAAAAAAAATATTTTATAAAAATATTTTATTTAACATGAAATCTGGATCAATTATTAAGATGAAAGGCAGATGTGGGAATGGAGGGAAAATGAAGTGGAGGCCCTTCCTGGCTACGCTTGTTATTGTCTCACCAACACACGAGTGGCTATCACCAATTGCATTCGATGCAATCGTAGGAGTAAAGGCTGAGTAGCTGTCCATGTTTGAATGAACGTAGAAGTTCAGTTGAAAATGCGTTTTACGGTACGATGGGAAATCCTACTCAATGACCAATGTATCTTTTTACATACTAGCATGACTTTTGGCACTTTATAATTCAAATGGTACTTTTGAGTTATTTTTTTCAAAAAGATAAGTGTATTTTGATGTTTATCAAAAAACTATATATTAAAAGGTAGGTAGATTTGTCATATTAAAAAAAATGGAGGGGCTATTATTGATATTTCAAAAAATAGTTTTTTTGCCAACATATTTTGAAAAATAATTTAAATGGAAGAAATCAATATTTTTAATTTTGAAAAAAAACACTAGTAGTTTTTTTCTCGTTAACCCCCTATTTAAAAACATGAATTTAATAAAAACAAGTCAAATCCTAGGAAATTGTAAATAGAGTAATATTGAAAAAAATTAATTAATAATTTAATCTCTTATGTAAAATGATTAATGTATAGGACTACCAATTTAATTTTAAAAATGACTAATATATCACGCATGATAGGTTTTCGTGATTAAGATAAAACTGTAATAATAAAAAATAAAAAATAAAAGTTTTTTTTTTTCCTGTCAAAACATCTAATTAAATACTATTTGTAATAATGATTTTGTTTTTTGGTTGGGTACATATATTTTTTTTTACTAATATAAATATCTTTCTCAGAGAGAATTGAAATCTTGATTGGTAAAGGTTCTGAAGGACTAGCAATCTCTATTGGTTAACAAGGAGTTGATGATTTCATGACCCAGTCGATTTAACTCAAGATTGTGCGGCTAACATCTGGAGTTCCTGGGCCTTTTTCGAGTGGGCCAAGTCCAATGAGGAGCCCACGTCCTTTGAACCCAAAGAGGGTGGGAGTGAGGACTAATGATAAATAGAAGAAGCTGAGAAGGATGATAATATTACCTCCTATCCTATTTATAAGACCTTATTTATAGACTACACGTGAGGTCCTATAAATAGGACAGGAGGTAGTAATATCTTTTGTAGGACACAGAATATTTTAACTAATTTATGTTTTTGCCCCCTTCTTTACTCTTATGCTTTCAATTAATGTTTATTATTGTTCAAACTCTAGTACGGGCTAAGTCTTTTCATTCAGTGATTAGGGGTATTTTACAACCAAAAAAAAAAAAAACTACATTGACTGCTTAATATAAGATATAGTTAACTAATTTAAAAAAAATTAAGAAAGTTACTGCATTATTTTTAAACTATTTATTTTATATTTTTTTAAATTAATTTGCCTCACTTATAAATTGATATATAATCTAATAGTTTATATAAGTATTTTAGAAAGATTATGTAATATACGCTATAATTAAGTAATTTAGTAACTTTGTTAATCTTCTCAAATTAGTAAACTGAGTTTTATATTAATGAATGAAGGTGGTATTACTTACCCCTAAAATTTTATAAATTATTTTAGCACTGAAGAGATTTTTTTTTTTAATAATCTTGATTTTAACTATTCTTAAACTTATAAATATTTCACGCCAAATTCATTCCGATGTAATAATGCAATGGCTCTACATTATAGACCTCTCTTCAAAACTTCCTCCTTCAGCTTTATAACTAAAAGGCTACAATATATATATATATATATATATATATATATATTATCGTGGTGAGGTAATATTATAGGAAACTTCCACAAGATCTCTAAGCATGTAAGAACAAATAACATGTAAATTGATAGATGCATATACTGAATTATAAAGATTATATTCTAACTAACTAATCATTTGACACAAATATTAACTGCAATAATACATGAAACAATATTTCTCTTAAGTCTTAACACACACACACACACATGATGGATATTAAGATGACCAGATAATAAGCCAACTGAAGATAAGAGACAACTTGAAGAATTATTGATTACAAAATAACACCAAGCCACACGTATGTACAATCAGAAGGTCGTAAACTTTTTGAAGTCTTTCATCACCTCATTCTTATCACTTGGACTATTCACAATAGTAGAAGCTACACACACAAACATAAAACACACTGATTTTACAGATGTTTAATTAGTTAGGTACTAATTAATATTACTCTCTCCGACAGAGATTGTGCCAACATGAAACCAATTTGTTACGAATTGAAAGGCAGAAGAAGAGAACCAAAACAAACAATATGATTGGGAAAAGGCCTCCAAAGTCGCCTATCTTCAAACTTCGCGTCTCAATACTACTTTTATATTCGGATCTGTCAACTGTGATGGGGAAAGATATTTTCTCCCTCATCTGACGAAACATCGTCACATTTTGAGTCACTTCCAATATTGCAGTTGAAAAATTCGAGACCAAGGTAGAGTTCTTTGGGAATGCCTGAAAAATACAGCATGGTATGAACATCATCAGAGTTTTTATGAATCATATGAAATATAATGTAGGGTTATGATGTAAATTTCTTCTAAAAGTTTTTACTCAGAAATAATAGTCCCGAAAGTTCTTTTAGGTTTAAGATTGGCTTGGAAGTGTTAAAACAGAACAACATCACTATTTACTATTAAAAATGTTAACGGTCATCAATGTCAGTTTTTTAATGGCATGAAGTAATGTTGTTATATTTTATTAAAACATTCAGGGCAACATTCAACTTTAAGAAAAATTTTTGGACAAGATTACTTCTGAACGAATATTTTTTAGACAAATTTGTATCTTATTCCTATAATATATATATTGGGATGAGAAGAAGAGTACTCACAAAGGCAAATCCACCAGCTTTGTAGATTGGTCCTACCATTTGGCAAGAAGCGCATTGGGAAAGGAAGAGCCTGAGATAAGGAGTTTCATCAAAAATAGCATCCACTCCTCCATTTTCTTTGTCTTCATTTGATAAAGCATCCTCGTACTCTTTACGACTTGTAAAAGCCCTTAACTGATCATCCTTCAATCCTAATTGGTGAGTTAGAAACCCTCTCATCCAGGAATCCCTTTGATATCCCACTTTCCGATTGCTCCTTCTAATCTCCTGCACGTCCTTCCATGGAGGAGGCTTCGGGTTTGTCCTATCTGTTAAAATTGATGTCAAATTTGCGGTATAAACTTGCAGTACTATGGTCAATATAAACATGACCCCTATCACCAGCCATTTAGATGTGCCACTTTTCAAAAACCCAACATCTGCAATCACCACACACACAACATTTATAATACACAGTGTCAAATAGATCAGTAAGATCAACAAGTTGATACAATTAAGAGCAGTATTAAGAAAACCATCAATTACTTCATAGATTTTACCAAATCGTTTGTAAATAGAAACATAAAGAACTTTTACAAAGTGACCTATAAATACAAAGAAAGAGAGTAGTGTATATATATATACATAATCAATAGTGCACGACAAAAGAGAACTTACCGCTCATGTAAATAAGGAAGGGATTGCGGACAAAGTCTTTGGATTTGCTTCCTCCAGCATCATCCTCCGTTTTATTTTCGGATTTGCTTCCTCTGACATCATCCTCTGTTTTATTTTCAGCTTTGCTTTCTGTGACATCATCCTCTGTTTTTTCTTTGGATTTGCTTCCTTCGACATTTTCCTCTGTTTTATTTGCAGATTTGCTTCCTCTAACATCATCCTTTGTTTTAATTTCGGATTTGCTTCCCGTGACATCATCCTCCGTTTTCTTTTCTTTTTGTTTTTCCAATATAATTACAAAAACAGTTGCAGCCACAAGAATCATAGCAAGAATGAACCAAGGTAACCAATCAAAAGGTCTGAAGAGGATCCACATGCTTTTCGAGTCAGACCTCACCTTTACCACCATGGACACACTTGAATCTAAATACGGCATTGTGAAATCAACACAATTTGTGCGACTCACTACAATTGTAATGTCTCCAATTATAACATCAACATCAACTTTCTGCAATATTTTCATACAAGGATTAATTGTTGGAAATGAATCCCTATATATATATATAACTTGTGTGTGTTTGTGGCCTGCATGCTCACTGATGACATCAGTTATCAAGTGGAAAGATCAAGACAATTAATATCTCTCAATCACTTGTAATATACAGGAATTATGGTACACGTGATCAGACTAATTTCGGGGGGAAATTTTCCAACTTTTGTTTGCCCCCCATATGATTTTTATTTCTTGAGTGTATCCAAGCTTCAGGGGGAATTAAATCATCAATGATAATATACAAATACATGCCTGACTTCCCTTTACTAGAAACTGAGAAACAGAAAAGCCGATCAAGTTAAAGCAATTGAAAGCAACAGAAATGAATGAAAACTTGCCTTGTCTGCGAATTGGCAGAGAAGATCATCATAGCTGAAGGGAGTCAGCTCTCCATCACTGTTGTTCAAAGGCACAAACTCATAACGTAAAGGTAATGGCAAGAGGCCAACCACTTGCTTAAATACATCAACAGCAAAGCCAGCAACTGATACATGCTGCCCTTCTACACTCCCATTAACATCAACAAATTCAGTAAAATGCGTCTTTGGGACCCCAACTTTCAACTTGGGTGGTATCTCCTTAGTGTTACCCGGCCATATTGGTTCACCACGTACACTTTGCATTCGAACAAGTCCTTTTTCGGGGCTCCAATATCCAATTGTCCTTTCTTTTTGGCCTTGCACATTGTATACCACAACATGTGATTGTTCTAGTTGTTCTTGCCTCAAATTAAAATTCCCTGACAAGCCAACGAAATCAGTATCCAGAATTGCTCCGCGAAGTTCTGGGCCTGTTTCGTTGCGAAGATCAGCTCCACTTTCATTAAAACTGACTAAGCCGGCCTTCTCTACGGCTCTGGCCAATGCTGTGATAGTGTCATAAGCCCACAAGCCATTTAGAGAAAGAGTTTTATCGTACTCAGACTTTAATTTTCTAACTAAGGAAAGGCGCTTAGTTAAGTTGGATAACACGAATGGCCTCACACCCAACGCACCATCCATATAGCCTTTCATTCTGACATCTAAAGCTTCGGGATCCATCACAGAAGACAGGCCTTGCGTAAGTATCCAAGCGTATCCTTCGCTCATCATGCCCGCATTTTTGGCATGTTCCGCAAATATTGACCAAAGCTCCAGAGACATATGAACGACAAACACAAATGTTCGCTGGGCTTTTATCTTGTTAAGCTCACCGGCGATTTGAGAATCCGTGGAAGTTTGATTGATGACACTTATGTAAGGCATTCGAGTGTCCATGTCTTGCAGGGCATAAGAGAGGCATGGAATGAGGTCGTTGCCGAATTCTGGATCTTCATAAATGGGGATCACAGACTGCCAATCATAAGCTTCGATAATGGCTGCTATAGCTTCGAACTGAGAGCAATGGCTTCTGGTGGAGTTGGAGTGGATGAAGAATCGGGTACGAGGTGGCAACAGAGATGGACCAGATGGAGAAAACCAAATCACTGGTACATCGTTCGTCTTACCAAGTTCTACAACATACCTCGCTTGCTCTGAGTTTTGAGGTCCCAGGACTGCATGCACCTTTTTTCCATTTATCAGATTCCAAGCTGCTTAATGCCAAAACTACCAAGTTAAAAAAATTAAAATGATATATAGACACAAGCGCGCGCACAACACAGAGGGAGGGAAAAAGTGATGTTATTGAGTTAGCTAGGATTTGGGCCAGGGACCATTCTACGGGAATTGAGTTTGGGTTCCCCGCTGCAAAATAGCTCTTCTACATGATCTGTATTTGTATATATATTTTTTCTTGTATAATCAAGGGAGGGTGGTACTACTTAATACATCATTTTATTTCTCATATTTATCTATTTTTTAATATAGTTCTTATAATAATAGTAATTCTAACCAATATACTTGATTAGCAAGAATATTTTAAGAAAGATAATATCTATTTATTACAAATAAATAACTTGACTAATTTTCTTAATTTATTTAAATTAGTCAACTAGCTGTTATATTAAGGACTGAACACAAAAGGAGGAAAAAGTGATGGCATTGAGTTGGCTAGAATTTGGGCGAGGGACCATTCTAAGGGAATTGAATTTGAGTTCCCCGCTGCAGATTCGCTCTTCTACATGATCTGTATTTATATATATATATATATATATATATATATTCTTGTATAATCAGGGGAGGGCGGTACTACTTAATATATCACTTTGTTTTTCATATTTATCTATTTTTTTCAATATAGTCCTTGTAATAATAGCAATTCTAGCCAATATATACTTGATTAGCAAGAATATTTTAAGAAAGATAACATCGATTTATTACAAATAATAACTTAACTGATTTTCTTAATTTACTCAAATTAGTCAATTAACTATTATATTAAGGACTGGAGGTAGTATTTTAGTCTTAAACATTTAGAAAATGAAATTTTAATTTTAGTATAATTTGCAAATACTTTGTAAAGTTTATGCAACAGCCAGACCAGTGTGAAGAAAAGATGCCAAGAGACTAGAAGACTACTCAACGTACAGTTGCCCTGAGTAATAAGAGTAAAAATTGATAAAGAATCCCTCTAAAATTTTAGGCTTATATAAATAATAAATAATAAATAACAAAAAATTATTTTTTCAACCTTATAATAAAATTATATTATTTTAAAGAAACGGCGGGGGATTATCTTCTTCAACGCAAAAGTTTGTAAAATTTTAAAAATGATGAAGGATATTTACGTACAGCCAAAAATTTTAGGAGACTGCAGATATGAAAAAAGTATACACTCACTTCTCTAATTTTATAAAATGTTTCTGGATATTGAATGACCTCTTTTTTGTTTTAAAAAAAAAAAAAGAATCACAAGAAATGCTAAAGCAAAGCTGAGGGGGGAGGGGGTCAGGAATTCTATTTCCATAAGATGTCATGAAGAAAGAGAAACAGGGTAGAAGAACAGAGGTGGAACTCGTAACACTTCGACAAGATCATTATAGTTTTGCAAACATCAGTAATAATTGAGGACAGGTTTTTATGGGAGATTAATTAATTACCTGCAATAGCTGCAGTGAGGAGATCGTTTCCAGAATGCCAGAAATGGAGTTGGAGCCTGGTCGCGTAGGAATCATGTGTGGAATAGAAGTCGAGGAGTCCGAGGTTGGTGCAGTTGAGGGTGATACTACCAAGTGATGAGTTCAAATCCAGAATCACTCCTACTGGTATGGTCACAGTCGCAGACTCTGTTAGGGTTACCATTAGGCATAATAAGCTCACAAATATGAGAGATTCTCTTCCCCTTCTCTCCATTTCTGCTATTCCCTTCTCTCCTCTCCTCTCACTCTTGCCGTCATTTTATACATCCTTCTCTTTTTCCCTCTTTTAAGTCTTAAGTCTTAACAACCATCAATACTACATATGCTTCATAACGATAAAAGGGCATTTTTGTCCTTCGAAAAAACTAAAATTGACTAAGTCTCTAGGGATCAATATATTACCTATATGTAAAAGACTAAAATACCATTTTAACTAACTCATTTGACCAATTTTACCCGATTTGGCCCAGAAGGTATTAATATTTTAAGAAATATTATTAATACAAGAACAATACTTTTTTCCCACAAGTTCTCTTTCATAATTTACACCTCCATTTTCGCATGATTTAGCAACTTGATGATGATGATGACAACACACATAGCTCCCTCATTATTTTCTAAAAAATTCCAACGTATGCATGGGCCCTAGCTTTTCCTTTCTTTCATAGCAGATGGCATTCTCCCTTACTAAATGATAATGGCCACTGGGTTGGAGAAAAAGTAATAAAAGAAGATAGCGACTTGAGAAAATCGGGCTGAATGAAGCGGGGACGTACGTGCAGAGAAAAGGTTAAAGGGACAATTTTTAAAAAACCCCAAATTAAAAACATAATTATTATAAAGTCCTACTGACAAATAGAGTAGCATGTAATAACAACTTTTAATATAGAACATAACAATTGCTGTCTTGTCATTAAAACTTATTGATAGTAATTTTTGTGTGACTTTATTGTATAATTGTCCCAAAATTAAAAATATAATAATAATTATTTTTTTGTTTAATATTTATATTTTGATAAAAAAAATTTTAACTTTAAGTTTATTAATGAATATTTGAAGGAGCGAGAAACATAGAAAGAATGCATTTAATCATTAATTATAAGAGGGTTAGTAGGTGTATCATTTAAGCAAAGTTGGGGAGGAAACAATATCGTGAATGAAAAGTGATAATAAATAAATTCCTCCTGTTTAGCACGAGTAACTTTCATTTAAACGATTGAGACTAATTAATACGATGCTTGTTATGAAAAAGTTTGGCCTTTGCAAGAGAATCTTGAGTGCTGAATCGGGGTCAGACAAAATCGTCCTCGTGAAGGGAGAGCGAGAGGTACGAGAGGTAGCGTTGGGGGAGGAGGTGCTGGAGAGGTTGATAGGGGAGGAGGAAGGGAACGCGACAAAGAAGCGGAGCTTGGTAGTTCACCTATGGACTTTGTGTTCGGGGCAGGTAGTGCTGGGGAAAGCGAGTCGGAGGGGAGAATGAAAACCCCGCAACCTGCCGCTAACCGGAGAGTTTTGCCTTTATCATATAAAGAGAAACTTCTCTCTTTAGGGTGTGGAGGTTTTCTGGTTAAACATGATGAGAATGAGGATATAGTAAACGGATGGAAATCCTTCTTTATGAAGAAAAATCAAAGTTCAGAGACTACTGATGGGGATGCGGATCTGGTTGATGGGGTAGAGACAGAGGGCACTACTATTAAACCAAGGTATCCCGTGCTAAAAGTTACTGCATCTCAATACACGGCCTGGTGCCAACCGTGGATAAACTCATTGATTATCAAGCTTCTAGGGGCACAGGTGCCAAAGAATGTTCTTATTGACAGGGTGAGAAGGATGTGGAAGCCAAAGGATCCTATGAAAGTGACCCCGCTTAGTAATGATTATTATATTGTTTCTTTCACCAGTAGGGAGGACCGGGACTATGCCTTTCAAGAAGGTCCGTGGATGATTGATGATCACTACCTGTTAGTTCAGAGATGGAGGCCAAATTTTAATCCGCGGAAGGCGGACACACAACGCAAGATAGCTGCTTGGGTCCGGATCCCAGACTTACCAATGGAATTTTATAATGTTGAGTCATTGGGGATTATAGGCGACATGATTGGCAAGACCATCAAAGTGGACCGTTCAACCTCGATATATGACAAAGGAGAATTTGCTCGCATATGTGTAGAAATAGATCTACAACAACCTTTGCTCACTGCGTTCACGGCTTTTGGTGAGGATTGGCAGCTTGTTTATGAAGGGTTACATCAAGTTTGTTTTAATTGCGGAAAGTACGGACATGAAATGCATGCATGCCCCCAAAATGTGAACGTCGCAACTACAGGGGCTATGGCGGATACAGGAGAGAAAGAGAAGACATCGGAGACAGAAAAGACCAGTGATAACCAATCGCGAACCACGACAGTGCAACCACCGATGGTGGCGGCGGATGCTCATTTGGGCCCCCAGATGTTGATTCGCCGAGATTTCCGTAGGCCTTCAAATCGTATAGAAATAAGGGGATCTGATGGAGAGAAGCATGGGGCGGATTTGAAGGGATTGAGGAATGGAAATAAAGATGTGGATCAAAAAGGCGTTGGGAGTGGAAAGATTCAGAAGCTTCAATCTCGGGTTAATACCAAGGAGGAGAAGAAGAGGATATATCGGCCAGTTGGGATACGCAAAGATAAGAATGAGAAGGTGGCAGGATCTAAAAATAATACCCGTGATTTTGGCGCAGAGTTAAATAATATTAATGAAGGCACGTGGAACACGGTTCTGGGAGCTAAAAGGAAAATAGTTGAAAGAGCCAAATTGAGGGGTAAGGAGAACATTCTTGATAAGTCAAAGGCCCCCTTTAAGGATACGATCAACCTCAATGAAAGCCCATTAGAAATATACAATCCCTTCATTACTTTACAAGCTGGGTCTGCTGACATAGAGGCTCACAACGCAAAGGGGGGAGAAAATCCAATTGTAAGTGGGCCCGTTGGTACTCAAAGCATCTCCACGCATGCGTCATTGGAAGGGGAGGCTTTGACCTCTCACAATCAGGATATTATTATGGGAAATAAGATGGATATTGTCCAGGGAAGGGGCATTGAAGCTTCGCCAACTCAACAAAATGTTTCCCTATGAATTACATGATATGGAATTCTAGGGGCACGGGCACGAAGACTTTTCCTAGCCTGGTGCAAGAACTGAAAAAACATTTTTGTTTAGATTTTTTGGCGTTACTTGAGACTAGATCAGACAAGCTTAAAACAGAGAGACGGATTGGTAGTCTTGGTTTTCAAGAATACACCTTTATTGAAGCCGAAGGGTACAGTGGTGGCATTTGGTGTCTATGGAATGCAGGAGTTCGGCGGGTCGAGGTGCTAGAACGACATAGGCAATATTTACACCTGTATATTGAAACCTCGAGATTAGAGCAGTGGTTCATGACTATAGTTTATGCTAGCCCGCACGTGATGGGACGACATAACCTATGGAATGCACTACAACAATTAGAGAGTGGCATTCATGGTCCCTGGCTTCTTGGGGGAGACTTTAATGCAACTATTTTTCAGAAAGAAAGACGCACTACTGCTGTAAATGGACTCAGCACGGACCGAGAATTCAGTAACTGGTATGAGACCTCAGGAGTTTCTGACCTTGGGCATGTAGGGCCACTTTTTACTTGGAAGCGAGGGAACACAGAAGCTCGTCTGGACCGTGTCTTGGCAAATGACGAATGGTGTAGACTATTTCCCAATGCTCGTGTGTCTCACTTGCCATTTTACAAATCGGATCATCGCCCACTTCTTGTGCAGCTTGATTTTATTACAGAGAGACCAAAACGTCCTTTCCGGTTTATTGCGGCCTGGGTATTACATGATGACTTTAAACGCTTTGTTACTGACAATTGGAAGACAGAAAGAGAGTGGAAGCAGAATCTCCATCAGTTCACGCATGAATGCTGCAGATGGAATAAAAATGTTTTTGGGCACATTGAGGGTCGAAAGAACAAACTGTTACGTCGGATGGATGGTGTTAATAAAGCTTTAGAAAGAGGAAGAAATAAGGGGCACTATGAGGATCTTCTTGCTCAATTATGGAAAGATTTTGAGGAAGTGCTTGTTCAGGAGTCTCTCTTGTGGGCCCAGAAAGCACGTGTAGAGTGGTCTGTTTATGGAGACAGAAACACGAGACTCTTCCATTCTAGAGCCAACAAACGCCGCAAAGCAAATAGAATCGATGCTATCCGGATAGATGGAGGAGAGTGGTGTCATGATTTAGAGGTAATTAAACAGGAAGCCACGAGATTTTTTGCTTCATTATTTACCGAGGAAGCCAGAGTTCGTGCGGAGCTGCCTTGTGAACTTACGTACCCCACTATTGATGAGGTGAGCTTACAAATATGTGATCGACCTATAGATGCGGTTGAAATTAAAAATGCTCTTTTAGTATGGGGCCCCTGAAGTCTCCGGGACCGGATGGGTTCAATGCTCTCTTTTATCAATCGCAATGGGATACCATTGGAGCTTCCATGGTAAGATATATTCAACGGATTTTTGCCAACCCTGAAGAGGTGAAAGAGGAAAATGGTACGTTAATTGTTCTTATTCCTAAGAAGGATCCTCCTGAAACTTTTACAGATTTGCGTCCCATAAGCCTCTGTAACGTTACTTATAAAGTGGTGACAAAAATTTTAGCAAATAGAATGAAGATGTTTCTCCCACAAATTATCTCACCAAATCAATGTGGCTTTGTACCTGGTAGACATGGGTCAGATAACATTATTGTAGCTCAAGAGGTGATTCACTCTATGCGTAACTTGAGTGGAAAAAAGGGGTACATGGCTATCAAAATTGATCTTGAAAAGGCGTATGATAGAGTTAACTGGAGTTTTTTGTTACGATGTTTAAAGGAACTGAACCTTCCATCTCATTTTGTTGATGTCATTGAAAATTGTATTAGCTCAGCAAGCCTTCAACTGTTATGGAATGGTAACAAAGCTGACTCTTTTGAATCCTCACGGGGTGTACGGCAAGGGGACCCAATGTCCCCTTATCTCTTTGTGATCTGCATGGAGAAACTTGCACACCTAATTCAAGAGCGAATCCATAAGAGGGAATGGAAGCCGATCAGGTTGACGAAAAATGGCCCACCTATCTCCCATTTATTTTTTGCAGATGATATTATTTTGTTTGCAGAAGCCTCCTTACAACAGGCAGACTCAATTCGACAATGCTTGGATGCTTTCTGTTCCAGCTCTGGTTTGAAGGTTAATTATTCCAAGACTCGTATCTTCTTTTCAACAAACATTAACCACAACAGGTGCACCGAGATTAGTTCTCACATGGGCTTCACTCAAACGGCAGACTTGGGGAAGTACTTGGGAGTTCCCCTCCATCACAAGAAAGTGACTCAAGATACTTTCAGGGGGACAGTGGATAAAGTAAAACAAAGACTAGCCAACTGGAAGACTAGTTCCTTGTCTCTTGCAGGAAGAACTACGTTAATAAATTCGGTCACTTCAGCCATCCCAAGCTATGCCATGCAAACGAATCTTCTTCCAGCACCTTTGTGTGAAAATCTGGATAAACTTAATCGAGGATTTCTTTGGGGGTCTACGGAGCAGCAACGGAAAATTTCTCTGGTATCATGGGATGCTGTTTGTACTCCCAGGTCTAAAGGCGGGCTAGGACTAAGACATGCAAAACTACAGAATCATGCTCATCTCATGAAGATTGGCTGGAAGCTAGCGCATTGTCGTGATGAATTCTGGGCTAGAGTAATTAGAGACAAATACCGTTGTGGAAACGACCTTCTCCCTGTGATAGACAAAAAGAGAAGCGGATCAAATATCTGGCTGGGGATCCGAAAAACTTGGGATACTGTTAAAGATGGACTTGAGGTTGTGGCTAATGGTACCAAAGTGAGATGGAAACATGACCGAAATGGTTATTTCTCAGTCAAGTCGGCCTATGCTCAACTAGCTCAAGAGGATGGTCTAGTGGATACATTGTGGGAGAAACTATGGAAGCTACGTATCCCTCAGCGCTGCAGAACAACGTTGTGGTTAGTTGCTCGCAAGAGCTTGCTAACTAATGCATTGCGGCACAAAAGGGGACTCACTGATGATGAACGTTGTCCTCTTTGTAAGCAAGCACCTGAGGAGCTGATCCATGTATTCCGAGACTGCTCAGAAACTAGGCTTCTCTGGAGAAAACTCATATGCCCTTCAGTGTGGCAGCGCTTTTGTTCACTTAATTTTCATGACTGGTTTAGGTGGAATATCACAACTAAGAACATTAATCATGAAGAGTGGAACGCGACTTTTGCGATTATATGCTGGTGGATTTGGAGGCGTCGGAATCTTTCTATCTTTGAAGGGAAGAGGGTTGCTAACGAAGCTATTATCTCTAATACAGCTGCAATCCTTCACAGCCTCGGGCAAGCCCAGAAATCTCTCTCGGGGGTCTCGCTACCTGAAGTTCAGAGCTCGACTACGGACACCGGATGGTACGCTCCAAGACGTGGGTGGGTTAAACTCAACGTAGATGGTGCTTTTTCTTCTATCACGCACTCATGTGCATGCGGGGGCCTCATACGTGATGAAACAGGAACCTTCATACAAGGTTTTATCCACACAATCCACGAGGGCGACGAGTTACATGCGGAGCTGTGGGCGTGTTTGCATGGATTGAAGCTAGCATGGGACGTCGGTCATCGAAGAGTGATCTTAGAGTCAGATGCAAGTGAAGCTGTAGAGCTGATACGTAATGAACCCGACGAGCTGCATGCAGATTATTCAATTATTAAAGAAATACGCCAGCTTTTAGGAAGAGACTGGGAGGTTCAAACAGCCCTCGTGAGCAGAGGGGCTAATAAGGCCGCAGATCATTTGGCTAAGAAGGGACTTGGGTTTCCGAGAGGATTCCATTACATTGGTTCAGCACCAAACGAGCTGCTGCACACTCTCAATGCTGATCGTAATCGTAGTAGGCATGTAGCCACGCTGTAAGGTGTACCCCATTATTATCAAAAAAAAAAAAGAATCTTGAGTGCTCATCACAAAATCCTTGAGTGGGGAAAAAGGCAGGAAGAGAGAAGAAAACGGGAGAATAAGTTAAAAGGCAAAAGCAGAACAAGATAAGAGATGGAAAAGGAAGGGCAACACACGGGCCCCCGATGCTTCCCTCTATTAAATCATCATTTCGCATTCGAGACTTGTGCCGCTTTGTCTCTTAGCCACCCATGCGATGGGATTTATGGCTACGGAAATTATTCCTCCAACAAACATTATACTATTTATAAGATACTTTTAACATATTTTATATATATCAAGAAAAATTTTAAATTTCATAAATTATGATTTAAAATTTAATAACTTTTTAATTTTATTTCTATTTAATATATATTATATCTTATTTAAATAAAGTCAATACAATAATAAATAAAGGGTAAAATTGTACATTTATACAAAAAAAATTTCTCAGTACTCCATAAATAGGATCAAAAAATATTTTTTCTCTCTAATTTATAAATAGAACTAGAAGAGTATATGTGCATTGTTAAGTGGCGTAATATGCCTTGGCAAAAAAAAAAAAAAAAGGTGGCGTAATATGCCTCTCTGGAATTTTCCAACATGTTGCAATATTCAAGGGAGAATGTCATATAAGTTCCACAGTCTAAGCTTAATTTCTAAGCAGGCCAAAGATATTTTCAAATTTCATTTCAGGCTCTTGAACCGAAAATAAAATTACAATGACCATCTTGCCTCTAAAATTTTAACAACTTCATAGGTATTTTGCAAGTCAAAATATGCATTTTAACAACAAAATATAGCTAAATAACAACTATATGTGTACAAATTTACAACTCTCAATTTTCATAATAGTAAGATGTGAACATGAAAAATTCATAAAAGCTCATGGGTAGGTACGCAAGGGGGAATACATATTTTTTTAAGAAAAAAAGATAGATAGTATATATTTATATATGAAGATGTACGACTCTCAATTTTTATTATCACAAGATGTGTAACATGAAAACTTTACGAGTCAAAATAAGTATTTTAACGACAAAAAATAGCTAAAAAACAATTATAAATATAAAAGTTTTAATTTTTAATTTTTATAACAACAAGTTACGAGCATGAAATTTATAAGTGCTCATAAACAAGTTTGTAAGTTAAAATATGCATTTTAACCAGAAAAAATAGCTAAATAACAAAGGCACGTATAAAAATTTACAACTACCAATTTTCATGATACACCCCTTGTAAAATAACACATTCCTTTCATACCCATATCCACACACACAACTGTTCAAGTGTGTGATTTTTTCATGTTCGTAACTTGTTATTATCAAAATCGAGAGTTATAAATGTTTACATGTGTAATCGTTATTTAGCTACTTTCTGTGGTTAAAATACATATTTTGACTTGTAAATTTATCTAGCACTTGCCAGCTTTTTATGTTCACAATTATCACAACAAAAAATAAAGGTTTATAAATTTTCATATGCTCTATTGTTATTAAACGTTTTTTGTTGTTAAAATGCATATTTCAAATTTTTAAATTTACTTATAATCACTTGCAAATTTTTCATGTTCATATCTTGCTATTGTTGAAAGTTGTAAATTTTCATATGTGCAATTGTTATTTAACTATTTTTTGTTGTTAGAATGTGTGTTTTGACTTGTAAACTTACCCATGAGTTCATTAGAATGTTCAGTCATTTTTCACTTAATTTCATTTTAAGCTAAAGAGATTGAAATAAAATCTCATATTGTTTTGGGCCTAATTGGAGAATAAATTCTGATCGATGATGATGGGACTTGAATGAAATTCTCCCTATATTTCAATTACAACATGTTTGAGTTGCTTAATTATGTCGGCATAAAAACATATTTCTTCTTTCACCAAACTTTCTCTTCTTCTCCATGATATCTTACTCTTGCTATCTTACTCTTGCTCGTGATTAAGTGTGATTTTTACCTTTAACATGGACGAAACATGTTTTATCAAATTCTATCATAAATTGGCTCTTTCAATCTCTAATTGGTCTTAAATTAAACTTCATGATTTCCAATGTATGTGCCCCTCCCCTAGAAAAATGATGTTTGTTTTGTGATTGGTAGTTAATACTTGTTTATGGCTGGCCATAAAAAAAACTTAAAAAAATAAAAGCACAATTACTATCTCTAATCTCAAATATAAATCACTTCTAATTAATTCATACCCTCTGATCCTATTTATAAATCACTTCTAATATATTTCATACAAACTGAAGAAAATATTAAACTTCATTAACTCTTATTTAAAATTCAACAACTTTTCAACTTTATTCTTATTTAATATACATTATATCTTATGTAAACAAAGTCAACACAATAATGAATGAAGGGTAAAATTGTACATTCATACAAAAAATTTCTTTCAATACTTTATAAATAGAACGAAAAAATGTCTTTTTTTTCTCCCCTATAAATAGGACCAGAGGAAAACATATTAATAATTAATAAAAATACCTAAAAACATTAAATTTGTCATAACATTCAAATGATTTTTAATATTATACTTATTAACTATATGGAACTCCAATATCATATTAATTTCTTCTCTCTCATTACCCTTAATTATTAGATATGGGCATATATGTTAAAAAAAAGTATTTAATACTCTATATTAACTAATGGCTTATTAAAAAAAAGACCAAGAATAGTTTCTAGAAGATACCTTATAATAAGAACAAAAGGGGGTGTTCATTACAGGAAAGTAGATAGGGTAGGAAGGAGCAAGCTTTATGGATACACACATATCACATGTTTGTTTAATAAGCGGCTACTACCTAGGAATTCTCCAATGTATACTTAAGCCTTATTAGCTAACTTGGGATCCTGCTTCCTGTTACGCAACTGTTCAATCACTGATGATGTACGCAAGCATTGAATTACCGATGGATTCAGAATGGCAACGCCTAAGAAGAGAGCTACTACAGATATTAGGACGGGGTAAAGGCCTCCAAAGTTATCTATTTTCAAACTTGTCGTCTCAGTATCACTTTGGTCTTCAAAAATGAGATCTTCAATGGAGGTGGGTAAGGAGCTCCTGGCCATCAGCACACGATATGGCTCCGCATCTTGAGTCACCTTTAAGATTGCATTCGAGAAATGCAAGGCCAGGCTAGATTTCTTTGGGAATGCCTGAGAAATACAATATATATATATATATATATATATATAGTTAACTCTAATTTGCCACACTCCCTGTGAACGTGAAGCTAGTTAAGTTAACTTTGCCTTATAATTAAGACCGGCAGAGTAAGAAGGAGTAAACTTACAAATGCAAGTCCACCAGTTTTATGGATTGGTCCTGCCATCATGAAGCCAGATCTATATCTGGAGAGAAAGAGCGTGAGATAGGGAGTTTCATCAAAAATAGCTCCCACTATTCCATTTGACAATGATAAATTGTACTCTTCACGAGTTGCTAGAGGCTTTAATCGAGACGGGTCGAATCCCATTTGGTTAATTAGAAGCCCTTTCACCCACGACCCATTTCGATGTCCCACAAACACATTGCTACTTTTAACCTCATTTTCGTCCTTAAATTCAGGCTTTTTCTTCTCTCCTTGTGTTAAAATTGAAGTCAAATTCGCCGTGTAAACTTGCACTACTAAGATGAATAGGAGTGACGTCAGTATCACCATCCATCCTGCAGATTTGCTTTTAAACTCCATCGCATCTGTAATACATCATCGTACATAGAACATTGATATCAAGTGTACTGTATGATAGAGTACGTACGAGACACAAATTGAAACATAATAACATATAAGCATAGTATATATGCCACGTAAGAGAACTCACCCATCTTGTAAACAAGGAAAGGGTTGGAGCGAAATTCTTTGGTTTTGTCTTCTTCATTGGTTTTGTCTTTTTCGTTGGTTTTGTTTCTTTCTAACATAATTATGATAATTGTTGCGCCCACAAAAATCCCACCAAGAATTAACCATAGTGACCAATCGAAAGGTTTGAAGAGGATTCCCTTACTTCTGTAGGCCTTCGCCCTTACCACCATTGCTACACTTGAATCTAGATACGGCAACGTGAAATCAACACAGTTTGTGCGTTTTGTTACAATTGCGATGTCTCCAATTATAGCATCAAGATCCTGCAAATATTTTCATACACAGAGCAAGTGTGAAGGTGAACTTGAAGTTAAATTGACAAAATAAGCCAACTCAAAAAGACAAGAATGCATGAGAACTTGCCTCGTCTTTCATTTGGCTGCAGAGAAGATCATCATAGTTTGTGGGAGTATCGCTTGCATTTTTGTTCGGCAAAAGAACAAACTCATAATTATTTAACAGAAACGGCAAAACACCGATAGCTTTTAGGAACACATTAATAGCAAAGCCATCAATCAGAAGCTTACTAGAATTATCCACATTCACAAATTCAGGAAAAGAATTTGTTCTTGGGACTCCTATTCTCAACTTTGGTGGTTTATCCAATGTGTCACCCGGCCACAGTGCCAGAGGACCACTTAGTTGGTATCCATCACCAGATACCTCGCCACTTTTACTATTATTTTGAACAAATCCATCTTTGGGGTTCCAAGATCCGATGATCCTTTCTCTTGTTCCCACCACATTGTATACTTCAAGCACTGATTGATCTAGTTGTCCTCCTTTTAAATTAAAATTTATCCCTGACACGCCTGTGAAATTAGTAGCCAGAATTTCACTTCGAAGTTTTGTGCCATTATTGTCTGCGCCTGGCTTCTCTAATGCCATAGCCAATGCTTCGATTGTGTGATAAGCCCACCATCCATAGATAGTTAGGCTAGCTCCTCCGAACTTAGCAGTGAAATTATTCTCTATCCCCTTACGCGCATCTGTTTTGTTAGAATCCATTGGCCTCACTCCCAATGCACCTTGCATATACCTTTTCAAAGCAAAGAAATCAGTAAAACTGCCAGATAGGACCTGGCCAGTATACAAGTTTCTCGTGACTGTAACTTGAGGATCTGTCAAAGAAGATAGCTCTTGGGTAAGTATCCAAGCATATCCTTCACCCATCATCTCTTTTCTTTGTGCAGATAAAACAAATGTTGTTCCGAGATCCATGCTCATATGGACAAGAAATACATGTGTTCGCATGTTGTTTAACTTGAGGAGAATGTCGTCAATGTCACGATCTGATGAATTTGAAGCAATGGCAGTTACGTTAGCCATTCGTATGCCCATCTCTTTCAAGACATTCGTGAGGCATGGAACAAGATGACTGCCATATTCAGTCTCTTCATAAATGGGGACGATTGATTGCCACCCAAGAGCTTTAAGACTGGCGGCTATGGCTTGGAACTGATAGCAATTAAGGCCTTGACCGATGTAGATGGAGGATGGAGATGGCGGTGGCAAAAGAGATGGACCAGTTATGGGAAACCAAATGACAGGTACCTGTAATTGCTCACCAAGTCTCACAATATACCTTGCTTGCTCTGAATTCTGGGGCCCCAACAGGGCACGTACTTTCACATCATGCATGAGACGATAAGCTGCTTGCATATCAAAGGGTGTCTCCAAGTCCTGTCGCCTTGATCTCTCCATGTTAACATGAAGTAAGCTTATTTTATACCAATTCCGTCCTTCTTATAAGTCATCACTTGCACGGTATCTAATGATTGTTTTCTAATTTTCCCTTTATTTTATTGTTGTTGAAAAGTGAGAAAGAGGAGAGATATGTGAAAATGGCTTGTAAATTGAGGGAAAGAACAAACTTCAAGAAGGATAGATTTGAAAAATTTTATCATGTACTCCTCCGGTCCTTAATATAAGACCCACTTAACTAATTTGATTAGATTAAGGAAGTTAGGTAAGTTAGGTAATCATAAAAAAAGTGACACATTTTTCCTAAAACACTATAATCATCTTTCTTAATACCCATTCTTCCTCTTCTACTTGCTTATGGTTGAGAGAGTATCCATATGAGTAATTTAGAGAAAATTAATAAATATGAGAAATGGGTCTTATATTTAGGACCAAAACCAACTCAAGAATTGGGTCCTGTACTAAGGACCAGATGAGTATTTCTTTTTATGTGATAATAAATTGCAAGTGACTTATAATAAGGATGGAAGTAGTAACAAAATGGGCCTACTCTATGTTAATTGGGAGAGGCAGGGAGACAGGAATGGAGAACAGGAAAAAAAAAAACCATGTTATATTCAATAAATAAAATGAAATCTCCTATTTATGATAGGCATGAAACTCTTAGGGAAAATTGGATAAATTTCTTGTTGAGAATTTAATTAGCAAATGACATGTAAGAACTTTGTGTAACTCAACTTTAATAAAATTCTTAATAAAGAATTTATTTCTAATTTTTCCAAACTTTAATGAAAAAAAATGGAGGAGAGAGGGAAGAAAAATTTTTGATAGGATCAATTCAAAAAAATAAAAATGAACTTATAAAATTTTAATAAAGTGCATATGTAAGATAAAAAATAAAAAATTAATTAAAAACTTTTAATCCTACTCCTCCAATTTTTTGGGAAAAAAAAAAGTACATTCAAATTTTTTCTTCATTTCATTTCCCTCATAAATAAATAAATAAACACCTTAAGATTCACAAACATGTTCCCCAAATGAAAAAAAAAATCTCAAATCAGTCCACTGGAACAAAACGAAATTTCAGAATTTAGGTAAAATGACCTTAATGTCCGTCACTTGTGGGGGAAAAAAATCTCCTACTTCTGCTAGTCGCTGGAAGCTGCCGGCGGTCACCGGCAGTTTTTGACGACAATTTAGCAAATCATACTATTCATGATGATGATAGGACCACGCAAACTTATGAGACTTCGACTAATTTTAAGTTACTACCTCCGGTCCTTAATATAAGATCCTATTTGACTTTTATTTTGATCCTAAATATAAGATCTTAATCCACTTTGTCTCTCATATTTATACATTTTTTTTTTCAAAGTAGCCCTTCTAACAAGATAGTTCTAGTCAATACACTTGATTAATAAGGATATTTTAGGAAAGATAACACCTATTTAGAACAAATAACTAACTCAACTTACTTCCTTAATCTCCTCAAATTAATCAACTGGCTCTTATAATTAGGACAGGAGGTAGTATTTAGTTAATGATCATTACGAAAAATCTGTCAAAAAAATAATATTAGACAGAAATTAAATTCAAAAGATGATGGAGAGTGGAGAAGTAGCGTTTGTTACCTCTGTTTGCCGCTATGATGATATTGTCCTGAGAAACATTCCAGACCACAAGCGTGATCTTGGTGGCTGTATTGTTATGAACGAGGTAGTAATTTTCGACGGCGAGGGCGAGGCTGTTGTTCACCATTTTACCGAGTCTTGAGTTCAGATCAAGAATGACTCCTACTGGTACTGTTTTTGTGGCCGCCATGGAAGGCCTTACTGTGATGTTAAGCCATAATAATACTAATAACAGAACAAGACTAAACGGAGAAAAGCTCTCAGCTTTTCTGCAACTCTACCATTATTGGTCTCATGCTATCACTCTCTCTCTCTCTCTCTCTCTCTCTCTCTATCTCTTCACTCTTCCTCTTCCTATATATGCCCCGACCTCCATTATTATATTAGTATTATACCCCTTCTCACTATTATTCTTTTGTTTGCTTTTGGGATTCTTTTTTCCAACTTTGATTTTCGCACTCATATATTTGTAAATATTCCATTTGGGTTTGATTATGACTATTCTCATTTTTATCATCATGCTTATCCACGGTTTCCTTCCTCATAATACACTTGTGCATGGTGAAGTCAAGCATCTCAGGCATAATACATAGCTTTATGAGAAGGCGCCTATCTTTATTCGCGTGAGTACCACCTCCGGCTGTTAATACAAAAGCTAGGTAACAAATTCAATTTTTTTAAATATAACACTTTAATTTATTTTGTCGTGTCCTAAATTTATAATTTTTCTTTCAAAATATTTATATTAATTGTAAATATTAAGGAGTTCCATTCATCAAAGAGTAATTTTAATGCACATCATTGATAATGGTATTTTACGAAAATCAACATTCATTTATTACAAATAACTAATTTAATATATTTTTTTTTAATATTTTAAAATTTATTATCTAGCTTTTGTGATAAAGATAAGAGGTAGTAATCCATATACTACCTTGCTCTAGTCCTTAATATATAATATCTAGTTTAAAGTTTGATTTGAATTGCAAACTAAATTTTATTTTAAGAACAAAAAATAGTATAATTTGTTTATCAATGCACAGATCTATTTATCAAATATAACTATTCAAAAGTCATTAACATTGTGATTGATTTCTCACGCTTTATGCAATATATGAAATAGATTTATATCAATTTTTTAATTACACATGATCATGTATTTTATTTTTTCCATGTGAATTTATAATTAAAGACCAATATTTAAAAAATAAGACATGATTATGTATGGTTAGAGAACTTAACATAATAGATATAAAAATTTAATATAGGTATTACTTTTTTTTTTTAATGTAACACGCGTTTTCGCTCAAGTGCTAGCAACCCATCCTTATGGCGAAAGACAACAAATCTATATTTATTGCCAACAACAACCATATTACTGTTAGAGAAGTTAATTTATTTATAAACAAAGTAATTTACTCCATATTGATTAGGATAAAAAACAAGAACGCAGTGACGTGTGAAGACTGACGCAACACAGGAATCGTGTGGTTATAAAGCGATCTATGACCCGAGCCTCTCATCCATGCTTTTCACGGTATTTTTTTTCTTTTAATTAAATACTTTAATTTTGTTGTGTACTAGTACCACTAATTCGTATACAAAAAACTAATGCTATTAACAGAGCAAAATTATAGAAAGTAACATATCTAATTAAAAACATAAAAGTATAAATGTATCAAATTAAAAATTTTAAGAAGTATAGGTAACTACAAGATGCTTTTCGTTTTAATAAATTAAGAATAAGTGTCTAAAAATAAAAAAATCATTTAAATCAAAGCTTGGATTGGTAAAAAGAATGGCGGAGTAAATTGTCGTAAGCCAGAAAAGAATTAAGAAGGGAGTATTATTTATAGTTTTAAAAAACTTTAAATGAAAGAAAGGAATATTTTGAATTTTCTTAATGAAAATATATTACATCTCTCTTTTTTTTTTTTAACTTTTTCTAAGTGAAATATATAACAAAGAATTTATGTAAACTAGTACTCCTCCGATCCTTTATAAGAACCCAATCGACTTATTTGAGGAGATTAAGGAAGTAAGTTAAGTTGATTATTTATAAAAAATAAGTGTTGTTATTCCTAAAATATCCTTGCTAATTAGTATATTGGCTAAACTATCATTATTAGAAGATTATCTGGAAAAAAATACATAAAATATAAGAGAAAAATGGATTGGGTCTTATAATTAGGACCAAATAAAATTCAAATTGGGTCTTATAATAAGGACCGGAGGAGTTACTATTTATTATGAGCGGATTGAATCTGGCCAAAAAAAAAAAGAGCGGACATGAAAATCACAATTATATAAATATCCAAAAGCCAATAATGAACCTTAGAAAAATATTTTCATATTCCTTCAATCTTAAATAACACTAACTACTTCCTCAAAAGTAAGAAAACATATTGAGGGCAAATAAATAAAAAAGTATTGTTCAAAAAAATAAAAAGAAGTAAGAAAAGATATTAAGTTGTTACTATCATCTAAGAAAGGTATGTTGCTTATCAAAATCATTATTCATTGATTTCTGTAATGAGCAAAGCAATTTTTTGGGTCTTCTTGACTGAATCGCAAAAGTGCGTTCAGATTTATCCTACGCGAAGGAGAGGCTTTTTCAAACACAATGCGCAAACAGACTTTGTAAATCTCCACATCAACCTTGATACTACCTTTAATCCTTAATATAAAAGCTTATTTAATTTTTATTTTGATCATAAATATAAGATTTCAATCTACTTTGTTTCTTCTATTTATTTATTTTTTCTTAAAGCAGTATTTGTAATAATGATAGTTCTAGTCAATACATTTAATTAGTAAAAGTATTTTAGAAAAGACAATACCCATTTATTACAAATAACTAACTTCACTAGTTTGCTTAATTTATTCAAATTAGTCAACTAGCTCTTATATTAAAAAACGGATATAGTACTACTTTTTTAAAGTTTTGAAACAATTACTAACAATACGAGACTATAAGCAAAATTGAATATAAATCCTTCAAACCCCAACTGAATTAAGTTTTTTAAAAAAATAAATTATGATATTTTATCTATTTTATATTCAGCCTAAAATTATCTACTAGGTCAAGTGTTTGCCAGGTTTCCAACAAACTATCACTATGTAGCTTTATTTA